TTAAAAGCAATGGAAGTCAGATGGAGAATGAAGTTGAAGTCTCAAACATACTTCAAACTAAACTCGCACACTTCTCCTCCAAACCTGTTCTTCCTACAGTGTTTCCTGTCACTGAAGGGCACCATCATTGTCCAATTTCTCAAGCCAGAAACCTACCTAGCATATCTTTGTAATAACCAACCAGCCCTCTCTTGTCACACACAGTTAGTCCACGATCAACTTATTGGTCTTATCATCTCTAACTAGCTTCAAGCTATGGTGATGTCTCACAGGCCCACAGCAGCCTTGTCACAGATCCATTCTTCTCCGCTAATTAATTACCCACCTAGGAGAGGAACTGATCTTTAAAAAACACAGATCTGATCATGTCACCCTCTGGCAGAAAATCCTTCCCACACCTTCCATTGTTCTACATACAACAACCACATCTGGTCTCTCCAGCACCTTCTACACCCTTCTTCCCCGCCTCCTCCACCACCCCACCCAGGATGTTGTGGCAACCAGGCCTTTCTTCAATTCCTCAAGAATGTCATTCTTCCTCTTACTTTAAAGTCTTGACACATACTGTCTCTCCACCTGGAATATTCTTACGTACTAAAGTCAGACCTGTCTTTTAGATCTCAAGCTCAATTTTCACTCTTAAAAAAGCCTTCTTTAATTCTTCCAGATTAGAGTAAACCCCATTATTTGTTTTCATAGCACTCTGTAATTTTCCTTCAAATTTATAAAAATTATAACAATATTTGTATGGTTATTTGATTATAAGTTTCCCCAATTAGACTGTAATTCCCATCAATTATTTAGGGACCATACATGTTTTATTATTCACCAGCACAGTGCCTAGTACATTGTATGAAATGAATGAATCAACAGGACATAGATACTGAAGAAAGTTATGTATTTGTACAATATATAAACCATATCATATTGTCTAAATAGAATATCTATATTGAGCTACATAGAAGGACAACTGCCAAGTAACTACGCATTCCATTTTTTCAGTGTCAACAGCCTTAAAGTAAGTATACAGAGATTTTTCTTAAAATATTTCGCTTGTTCTGTTAATCATACACAAGAAAAAGTAGGATGTAAAAGATTCTTCCCTTTACTGATCTTCTGCCAACACACGGATCAAAACTACTGCACTTAAAATAAAATATGGAAGGAAAAGAGGAAGAAGGAAGAAAGAGAAAAGAGAAGGGGGAAGAAGAAAGGGAATGAGGGAAGGTGAAACCAAATAAAAAGAGTAACAGCTTCTAAAATATTAGTAATATTAGTAATAAAAAATATGAGTAATAAAATAACTTTTAAAAATCATTTAAAAAACTTCAAAGGTCTCATTTTTCAGAGACATATAGACACACAGATACAGCTGTACATAGTTGTATACATAACACATCCACGCTGCAGTCTAGAGCAGGAAGGATGATCACAGCCAGTGTATGATAACCTAGTTCAATGCAATAATTAAAAACACCCAAGGAGTTTTAGATGTACAAAAATAGTAAACTGAGACACTCTGAGATCTAAAACAAGCAGGACTTTACTGGGAAAGAAAGAATGCGGGGCTCACTGCTGGTGGAGGGAACACATGTCAGGGCCTGAAAGCACGAGGAACAGTGACAGGAGAACCTGACGGCAGGCAGGGAGGCTGGAAGAGGAGAAGCGCACGGAGAAGCGCGTGGAGGGACAGGACTCTAGGTTTGACACTAAAAGCAATGGAAACGAAGTGAAAAAAATCAAAATCATTGAACAAGAAATCGAAGCAGAGACGAGAAGCAAATCTGATTTTTTTTTAAATTTCAAGAACTGACATTACCCTGCATCTACGTTAAACACTCTGAAAGTACGCTGCTTATCGACCAATATTTTCATTCTACTTTAACAAATTTAAGAACAAAGAATAATAAACATATGGACTGCTGTAAAAAGAAAATACGAAGTGTGCGCAGAGAAGAGTTATTTTAACATAGAAGGCCCGACTGCTGTTCTTCCAAAGGCCCGCTTACAGGGCTGGCCTTGCCTGGATTTCAGGGGTGCTCCTCTCATCGTTCCCAGGCTGGGAAGAGTAGCTCACAACGCCTTCAGTGTCTGCACAAATAATCTGATTTATGCTGAACACTCGCTTTCCTTCTGGGAGTCTGGAATTTCGGTCCATGGCACCAGGCAGAAGCTGCTCACGTGGCCGGCCCCCAATAAAAACTCTGGGTGCTGTCTCTAATGAGGTTCCCTGGTGGGTAACACCTCAAACATGCGGAAACAACTCCTTGTTGGGGGAATTAAGCACAACTTGTGTGACTCCACTGAGAGGACCCTGGAAGCTTGCTCCCGTCTCCCCTCAATTCAGCCCCATGCATCTTTCCTGTTGGCTGATTCTGCTTTGTAGTATTTTGTTGTAACAAATTGTAGCCAGGAGTATAACTAAATGCTGAATCCCATGAGTCCTCCTAAAGAATCATCAACCTGGGGATAGTCTGGGGAACCCTGACACAGAGTGAAATCGTGTATTGACTCATTCAAATATTTAGTTTCACTATAAAAATTAGACATGTATTCTTCTAATATTTAATAAAATTTCAAAGAGAAAAATAGCATATACTAGGCAATGAGAGTACCAGCGTTTACTTCGTCATATTATGGCATTTAGGTTTTATAAAATTCTGATTTAATCATAGATTGCCATTCACCTAGCAACACATTTACAAATATGTCAAGTTTTCCTAGTAAGAGTTTTCTTATAAAACAAGAGTGCTTTTCCTTAGATAACAGTCGTGCTAAATTTGGGTATTATACTATAACACATCGTTAAGGCATCCAGCATAAAGAGGTTAAAAAAAAATCAGAAGCCCTCAAGGAGAAAAGGAAAAAAAAAAAAAACATTGAGGTATCTGTCAGTTTAATACAAATATATGTTAAATCATTATGAATTAATAACCATCTTTGGGCCCAGCCACATTCTTAAAAAATGTCTGAACATCAGAACCATTCATTACTATTAAGTATCTTTTTTACTCTTTGCTTTAGATCTTTGGCATTTGGCATAATTTCTCTTATCCTATTCTGAACGTGATACTGGTCACCATTACAAACCTGACTTTAAAAACTGTTTTGCCAAGGAAGGTCTGAGGATTAAATTGGGCCTCTTTCAGATGGTTTTTGAATTAAAAAGCACTTCCTCAGCTGAGCATTTCTGGCTTACTGATAAAATGAACTGAATATTCCATGGAATTAAAACAGGGTGCTGAAAACTTTAAAAGTTAAAAATAAATTAAAACAATAGACTGCTGAATGTCTCTTCAAGAACGTAAATAGCATTGCTTCAGACACACTCAGAACTATGACACAGTAATGGCATTAACCAATGAAGTTAATCAAACAGTCTGCTAGGGGTGATCTTAAGTATGGAAATGATTGACTTTCAGATTTTTAACCCAGTCTGTAAGTGCCTTTCTGAAACACAAATCTTATTGTTACCCTATTAAACAAATAAATTAAAAACAACCTCAAACATCTCTGTATCTTCAATGCATGAAAAAGTCCATCAACCTAACCATAAGAATGTTACACAAAGCCCTTCACAACGTGACTGAACCTCATCTACCTCCTTCTTTCACTTTTCCTGGGAGTCCCTACAGTCCTGCCACCCTGAACTATTCACCTTCCCCAAACCTCCTCTTCTGTGCTCCTCTTCCCTGCTTGTTTACCTGTCACTTCCTCAGCCAGGAGTGTCCCCCCCAGCCCCATTTTCATTTAAAGCTGCACTCCTGCTCAGTTTTTCAAGTTCCAGCTTAACTGTCTCCTTCTCTGAGAAATATTTCCCAAAGCTTCCAGGCCAAAATGAGTTACTCCTTTCCCCATGTTCCATAATGCATTAATTCAATTTTGTTATGTATTTCCTAAGCAGTTAAGAGTATGCTGCACATAATACATACTCAAAAAATATACTTGTTTACATGGACTTGAACAAGACACACAAGCATCCAAAACCTAGGAGCTTAAGAAATACTCATAGTTCTTAAACACAGGTGAATTTTTGAAAACATGACTTTGCTACTGGGAATATTTGAGCTCTTGATAAATCTCATTGATAGGCAATTGCAGGATGAAGTCCATTACAATCTAAAAGCATCCAAAGCTTCACTTGCACTGAAGATTTTTTCCAGCACTCCTTTTTTTTTTAAACTAAGTTTCAAGATAGCCTTCATTTTTGTACATGTATACTCCATTCTCAGCTTCACTCTCACAAGATCAGTGACCCCCCCCTACCTTTTTAGTCATTCCAAGAGGACAGTTTCAATAAATTTAAACATAATTAAGTAGAACTTTTTAGTTTCATTCACCCCATATGCTCTCTTTTTAGAAAGAAGTAAACAAGAAAAAAAATCTGAAAAAAAGTCAACATTCTAAAAAAAATACTAAGTATAATCTCTTACATTTTCTGAATTTGTAATACCATAAAAGAGGAATTCCTAGTGTGCTTTGGAAAACATTAACCTTTACAAGTAATTTTTAAATAAAGCAGGGTCAAAGAAAAAGTATCTGTTATAATATTTTGCATTCCACTGTAGTTCATGTCATTCGAAGAGAAAGGAAGCCTAATCGTATTTTCTAATAAGAACGTTGAACCTTTTTATCATAGCGAGAAGAGTATAAAGTTAGTCACACAATTCATTATTCCTTTTTTTCATAGAACAAATTTAGGTAAGTCCAGATATCCAAAATGACCTTTAAAAAATCCTTGATCATGAAAAAAATAAATTACGTCCTTATCCTGAGAGAAAAACCATATACCAAATGCTGGTTCTTTAGGAAAGCAACCACCTCTCGCTAAGGTTAACTTCTCATGAAAAGGTACACGGAGTCCTTAATTCGTAGATTAGAAATTACTTTTAGAATCACTGAAGTCTTGCCAAATGTTTATTCTATGAACAAATGAGTCAGCTACTCTTCCAGTGACTACGCCAGGACAGTCTGTTAGAAACCAAATGAAGGGCAGATACCTTTATCAGAGTATGTGTGTTCTAATGCGTGCAGATCAGGCAACACGTGAATACAGTTTATGCAGCAGTAGGTGAAGAAATCAAGAATGACCACTTTTCCACACAGGTCCTTGTAGACAGAAATAGATTCTTCTGTGTTCAGCCATTCTAATCCTGAAATTTACACAAAAGAAATTATGATTAAAGGAAAAGATAAAGATAATATATCTAAATCTTACCACTAAAATGTGAACCATTATTATTTCTAAGGAAGGGAGGGGCAGGAAGGGGATGGGGAGGTAAGAGACGGAAAAGCTACTATTATTAGGCAGTCTGCAAATACAGCGGGGGGGGGGGGGGAAGAAGCCACTAAATTCTTTCAGAAATAGTACAATAGCCTGTGTGTGAAAGGAAGTAAGATCAACATATTTAGGTAGAAATGAGTGGAACTATCAAATATTAAAAGGACCTAAGTACACAATTTGGTACAAATGGGCTATTGAGAATGAAGGTCAACCTTAAGAATAAACTAAATATCAAAAAGGAACAGTGTTAAAATATAAGCATAAACATATGAAATGTGTAAGCCAATTTCACAAAAGAGCTGAAATGCTCTGGATTTGAATGAGACCTTAAATACAACATATTTTAAATACAAAGTTAAGCAAAACACACTATTATTATTATAGATTGCATGGAAGCAACATTAAAACTGATGAAGAGCATGTTCCCTTCTCTCCAAAGAAAAGAAAAATAGAATCTCATTAATCTGTACTTTTGTAAATCAGAATTTATAATTACTTTACCATGATTTACAGTTTTAACTATGCACTACTAAAAAGGTTTTGTTAAACTAACAAAAGTAGATTAAAAGTACAGCATGTCTATTTAACGAATTTAAGAAAACAAAGATAATGAGTTTGTTGCTTATAAGTAAATAAATGCAGCTACTAAAATTGTAAATTATACCTTAAAGCAAGTATTTGGAAATATTTTACAGAAACTGAAAGCCAAAGCTGGGTGGGACAACTGAGTAATAAGGGCAAACAACTAATAACAGTGACTGGAGTTATTCAAAACAAAACTTAAAAAAAAATCTGCAACTCAAACTAGTATTTTGGCAAATTAGTCCAACTGAGTAAGCTTTTAGGATACAGTTAGGTCTTAATTATACATTTTAATAAAGTGTTAATGGTATGGCAGATCAAGTGACCATATAAAACCTCAAATTACTTGATGTATATTACATATCCTAATTTTAAAGTATTTATGAATTTGTCTTTTAAATTTATTTTCTGTAAATAGTCAAGCGCGACAAATTGGGGATGGGGAAAGTATTAGATGTCAGTTATTGTGCTAGGTGCTTTTCAGACTTAATCATAATAATGAACCTTATAATAACAATAATTAGAATGAATATAATTTTTAAAGCTGCTAACATTTACTGAGCTTGCCTATGAAGCAAGGACTTTAGATACATTACCTCCATCTGCATAACAAACCTGAAAGGTAAATAAATATTGGTTCCATTTAATAAGTGAGAGAAAAGTAACGCTTGGAGAAGTAACTTGCTGAAAAATCATGCAACTAACAAATGAAACAACTGGGATTTAATTCCAGGTCTGTCTGAATCCACCCATTATACCACAGTTTCCCATAAAACATGTTTCTTTTAAGAAATGAACAAAGCACAGTGTTTTTGAGACAGAGTTATGTTTATGACTTTTTGATTACTGTAACTAATAAAGAAACCAAGAAAAAACTCGTATCTAGTATTCTGTCCTCATTAATCAGGCCCAGCATAAAATTTGACTGTGTCAAATGTGAAGCCTGAGTATTTTGTTATATTATGTATGAGTCACAAAGATCAAATCTCATGGTAATAAATGCACTCACTGTAAATACAAACAAGAAAATAAAACCATTGGCCCCAGTCTTAGCTGGTGGCCGGCTCATTTATGACAGTCTACTATGCAACTAACTTCTTACAAAGTTTTTTTTAAAAAATGCACACATTTATATAAACTTCTAAAGTTTCTTTGATGGGATAAGCATTCATGCACCCCATTCTTTCGACAGAATTCCACAGTAATTCAAATCCAGCATAGAATTAATAACAACAGAAAGCACTTTTGAAGGTGGGAGCAAAAGGGTTGGAAAGACACGTGACTTTCGTCAGAGGCAAGGTTCCAGTATACCTCCCATGAGATACTGAGCCCTGCCACATCCAACCAATTAACTATACATGTGGTTTCAGTGTCATGCCAGGAGACACAACGACACCACTGGGCAAAAACAATGCCAGTCCCAACCAAAGAAGGTTAAGTTCGGTCTCATTTATCATAGCAAGATGTGCTTCACAAATAGCACTGCTGGCAATATCAGTTCCCTCGGGCTCCAAGCATTCACAGAGCTGGGAATCAAACCCTAGAGATAGGCCGTAATTGATTCAGATTTTTAAAATGACAAGTTTCCCGACTTCGAACGGAGAAATGTGGCCGATCTAGGGGGGTCTGTAAAATCCGGCTCTAGCAGTGGTGAGGCCCTAGTCAAATGATTTAAGCTCCCTGTCCCCGTGCCTCAGTTTCCCACCTGTAAAATAGGACCAATAAGAGCACCTCTATAGCCTTCAGAGAGGATCAAATAAGGTAATACCGTTTAAGTGTTTAGGACTGCGTGTGGCACATAAGAAGTGATGAATAATGTTAGCTGGGAGGATGCGTTAAGATGATGACGATGCTGGGCACCCAGGCTGAAAGGACCGGGTGGCAAAGACACCGGAATCATGGCTAGCCGGGGCCACTAAACGTTCAGGGAACGTTTACTAGTTAACAAAAGGCTCGGGCCGATAGAGGATACCGAGACGAAGATGCAGGCCCACGCCCTCCACAAGCCCGCAGTACGCCGCCGCTTCGGGACAGAGGTCGGCTGGGCGAAGCGCCCGGCCCACCGCTTCAGGGCACGGCGCCGACCCCGAGGAGGAGGGGGGGTTCCGGGAGGGGCTCCCCACCCCGAAGCCAGCCCCTCACCTTCCGGAAACTCGGGCACTGACAAGTCCTGCTGCCAGCCGTCCACCTTCTGCAGATACTGGTAGACCAGCCTGTCCTTCTCCTCCTGGGTGACGGCGTCGAGCAGGGCGTACTCCAGCGAGGTCTGAGCCGGGAGCAGGCCCGAGAGGCTGCAGCTCCGGGCTCCGGGCGCCGCCATGTTCCCCCCGGACGGGCCAGGGGCGGCCGCCGAGCCCGCGGGACCGTCTCGTTTAGGGAGAGAGGAAGCGCTTACTGTCCTTCGGTTTCAAGACGGCACATTCGCCTCACTCTCCACCACCCGCTCTCCACGCTAACAGCCCTTTTTCAAGCGCTAAAGTACAAGTCGACGCAATTCCCAGGCACGTAATTCAAGTGCCGTCCCAAACCACCCCGCCCTTCTAAATCCTATCGCCACAGCCGAGCCTGGACATTCAGAGCGCCAGATTCAACAGGGAAAAAGGCCTCCGGGCCAGCGTTCCAGAAGCGCTAAGAGAACCATTCCCCTAACCTTCACTCTGGAAATCAGCGGGGTTTTGAACTAAAATAAAATAAATCCGTAGGACGTAAAAAGGCACGAACTGTTTTTTTCCTTTTTTGAAAAAATCCCCCTTTAGACCAGATCAGCCGATTCGACACAGCACTGGTAACGGGAAGTTGTTTCCCGCCACGACAGGAAAGGTAAAGGAGTAGGCTTTTTTAAGTTGGGGGAGATTAGCCAAGCGCTTTGGCTTATATAGAAATACAGTATTTTGTCACCCTGCGGTGCTGAAAGTGCGGGCGCGAATAGACTGTCAGCCGAGCGGGAGGAGGGGGCGCGAGGGGAGCGGAAGCAGCTGGAGCTGGTCCCGGGGGGTGAGGGTGGCAGGTGGGCGGCGGCGGGGATCCCAGAGGACCCGGCCTCTGTCTTCAGAAGGGGAGGGCGCTGATGGCTTTTGGGGAGCTGTGCTGGCAGGGACCCCTCATTGGCGCTGCAACTTCCAACGTCCAAAGAGGAGGTTGAGCCGGTGGGAGGCATGAGGCAGGTGAACCTTGGCTTTGAGGGCGGTGGAGAGAGGGCTGGTGGCCCCCAGGCAGAACACCTCTGCGGTCTGGAGTGAGGACTGTGGGTGGCCTCAGTGCATGCACAGCTTAACATCTTTGAATTTTGTTTGTTCATTGTGCAGTGTTTGTTCATTGCTGATAGAAGAAGATACCGGACTGACCCGGGAAACTGAAGTTGTTGAATATCCACGAGTCACGGATAAGGAGAATTATGTTTTTTTGTGAATCACACACATTTGATTATGGTGTGACTAGGGTTACTGGCAAACAGAGGTAGCCATTAAGTGTTTGGAGCACCTGCTGAGCCAGTTGCCCAGGGACTGTGGTTGGATTTGTGAATTATTTGGACAATTGTTCAGTTGAAAGAGAACTGACAGGAGCTTTATAACAATTTTACAAAGCTCCTTCTAAGATTAAATTGTTAAACCTGTAGTTCCCATTAATGTTTAATTTTCTAAGTATTACTGAGTCTTATTTTTATGAATCAAGTCCTTGAAGAAGCCAGGGTACCTGAATGAAGTATACACAGTGGGAAACATCAGATGCTGCCCCTGTGGTTGGTTGTCTTAATGTTATCGTGGCATAAATGGAATGGCAAGTGTTCTTAGGTATAGAGTTTGTAGTTTGTCAGTATATTCATTACCAGAGCTTTGGATTCCCGTCAAGTTAGTGGGTTTTTTGTTACTTTTTTTCTCAGCAAAAGAAGTCCATTTGAAATTTTTGTAACAAGAAATAGACCCTCAATTTACTTAAGAGTAGTGCTTCTTTGATGACTATAAAGCATTTTGCCATGTTAGAAGACATTTTTTTGGAAGAAGACATCTGGGAGTACAAATCCAAAAGAAAACCGAAACCACTACATTCAAATAATTGCTCCGAGAATATCCCAAAATCTGTTGAAAAAGCAACAGATGGAAAACACCAGTCAAAACGAAACAGAAATAAAAAAGAACTGTAGAAGCTAACGAGAAGGCGAAGGCCCCTGAAATGTGCCTTGGAGAAACAGCCAGCCAGACTTCTTTAGCTTCTAGTCAGAACTCTGATGGTGAGGATGGTGTTCAGCAGTGCCAAGACCAGGAGACCACTCCAGGAAAGCACAGCAGGACTCAGAAAAACAAACACGTGTCTCCAAAGATCCGGCCAGTGTACGATGGATACTGTCCAAACTGCCAGATGCCTTTCTCCGCCTTGCTGGGTCAGACACCTCGATGGCATGTTTTTGAGTGTTTGGATTCCCCACCAGTCTCTGAAACAGGTAAGATTACAGAAAAGATAGTGGCTGTCAATAGTCGACAAGACCTGCATTAGACCAGACATGCATCTAGTGAAACAAGCAATGGTAAGCAGTAAACCAAAAGAGAGATGAGACACTGTAAGTATAAATGACTTACCCTAGAAGGGAACAAGGTAATGCATTTTTACCTTTCTTGTGAAATGGTTTCATTGTAAAGAATGTTGCAGGCTTGAAAACAGTTTCAATGCATTTTATTATTCATTATAAAAGTCCCTAGATACCTCAGTTATTTTTCATAAATGTTAATTGAACACATACTATGCTAGATACTTTCACCTGTGTAAGGTAGGTTGTATTGGCATTTTATAGATGAGGGTTCTTAAAAGTTAAATAATTTGCCCACTGTATTATCTTTTATGAAACAGACTTTGCGAGAATTATGGATGTAGTTCAGTCTTCTGAACATGGTTATGCTGGAGTCATCATGCTAATGTACAGAAAGAACTGGGAATGAGTGTCAGGTTATTATGATCCTAATAAATTAAAATATGCCAAATGATAACTGAAATAATGTTATGTTTTTGTCATCTTTTAAAATATGTAATACATGTCATGTTTAACATGTTGAAAATCCTAGTTGAAGTATGTGGAGAATGGGTTGTTATGGTGATTTGTATATTTTAAAGTTATATACACAATACATAGATTTTTAAATCTCAAAGAATTGAAATTCAGTAAAATAAAAATAATACTAAGGATGGCTTTCGTGTTAACTATGATTCAGAGGACATTTTATTATTAACCTCTAGTTATTTTGAAGTACTATATGAAGATGCAAAATACCTTAAAAAAATTGGCACTAGCCTTTCTTATAAAAGGGAAAGCCTCATCAAATGCTAGTAATTTGCTTTTAAGTGGCTTAAAAATCAGAAGTGGAAGTTGGAGTCCCATGGTGAGAACTTCAGAGTGAAATGTCTTATAGATGAAGCCATCTCAAAGGGATTTTTCTTTTGTTGTTTTTTTTTTCACCGATTAAACTCCTTTGAGTAAAATCTCAAGTGGATTCTTCTTGAATTGAATTCTATTCTATAGCATATACTGTTATGAAGTGGTTTTAAGTTTTAAGCAATGGAGTCTTCCAACTTAATGTAACATTGGTGGAAGAAATCATTTTTTGATAAGCCTGGAAATTAACGTGCAAGGGGATATGCCAAGGTGGCTTGCAGACTTTCTCAGTCATAATGGTAGGATGGTTCCAGATTATTAAAGCCTTATTATTAACCAGCTTGTCAAATTGCATTTCTTAGAGTATTAGCAGCTATAACTAATTAAGATTATTGCCTGCAGTTGAATATTAAATAATGGAACCTGATTCAATACTACAGTTGTCACAAATTCATGTTGCCTGATAAGATAAAAATTGGGGTAGAACTTTAGTCTGTGAGAGACATACCAGTCGTCTCTTTATTGCCTGAGCAATAGTGACTTAGTGAAACTGAGGGTATCAATTTGTAGCACCTGTTTGAGAAACGCCTGGCATAAGCATGACTTGCATTTTGGAGGAGCTCATATTTGTGAAAGTTGTTAGTGGCGAGAAGAGGGTGTTAGTCTTAAAATTGAGGGGGGGGGAGATTATTTGAAAAGAAACTGAAAATTGAGTATTTGATTTAAGAATATTAACTAGCACCTTGCAAAACCATACTGGATTACTGTTATTGTATAGAGATAGATATTGTCCTGTGGCCTCAAAGTAGGCCTGCTGACTTTCCACTTAAATGTTATATGTGCTAATGCTGTTAATTTATAGTGCTCAGCTTAGTCTGTGCTTTGATCCTGTAATGCTTTATTCTTTATTAAAATTTGCAGAGTGTCCTGATGGTCATCTGTGTACTTCAACGATTCCTTCTCACTATAAGAGATACACTCACCTCCTGCTAGCTCGAAGCAGGGCTAGTAATAGTCCTTTTAGCAGTCCATCACGTGGGTCAGGTGGGCGTTTCAGTGAGACTAATTCAGTCTCTCTGTGTAGCCCGGAGGAAAAATGGTCTCTGTATCAGAAACAAACGGACGACGTAAAAAATGTTTCATCTGATCCCTTGTTGGTGACGCAGTGTCTAAGAAAATCTCAGTCTCCAACTGAAACTGATAAAAAGATTTCCTCCTCAGCAAATATCCAAACTTCCCAACCAGCCCCGCAATTTACAGAACTTGTTAATAACGACAAACTGGTAGGAGTTGGTTTCCCGCTTGCTGAGCAGTTAGACAGCCAGAACAACTCAGAACACATAAATTTGCCATTGCCAGAAAATGACTTTAGCAACTGTGAAATCTCCTATTCTCCACTTCAAAGCGATGAAGAAACTTGTGATATAGATGAAAACCTGGATGATTCTCAACAGCAAGTATTTTTTATGGAAAGCTCTGAAGATGGCAGCTTAGAAGATGACAGTAGCTCGACTTTGTTGAAAAAACTCCATGATCCCTTCCTAAAGGACCAGGAGGACAGCTGCCCCGAAGTGGATAGCTTCCTAACTCAGGATAAATACAATAAAGAATTGTATAAATGCAATACTCTGAATGATTCGTCTCAACTTACTTTCCAAAACAAGAGTATTCTTTCACGTGAGAATCCTGCATATACTGATGACGATTTTATGTTGTTTCCACCTGCGTTAGGAGGGGTGTTTACCTCTCCTGGTTATCAGGCCACCAAAGCAAAACCTGATGAGTCAGCATTTCACTCATCTCAATCAAGTAAAAAGAAACAGGTCACTGAGCCATCAGCTGTTTGCAATCAGATTTCTCTTCCATTACTTAAGAGTAAGGTGTCAAAACCTTTTGAAAGCCAGGGAGGAGGGTGTGGTTCTCTCCACCCAACCCAAGGTAAACGTAGAGAATTATCAAGTAGGAATTTCAATGCTAAGAACAATACTAACTCAGGATGTTTCTGCAGGAAGGCATTTGATGGTTTGCTAGACAGTAAAGATACGGCTTTAAATACAGAGACGTCGCCTAGTACACCTACTGCTGCTAAGTCTTTGAAAGTATTGCCATCTGGTCCTAAGCGTGGTGCAACACCCCCTTCTGCAAAGGTAATGAAGCAAATGGATATAGGTGTGTATTTTGGACTACCCCCCAAAAGAAAGGAAGAGAAGTCACTGGAGGAAAATGCATTAGAAGAGATGAACTTAAATGCAGTTGTAAGTCCTAATGAAAAGAGGTCCCGGCAGTGCAAGAGGAAAGCAGAAAAATCTTTAGGTGATTTAGAATTAGAGGCAAATAATTTAAGTGAGAGTCGGCCGTCTGTGGAACTTTCTAGTAAGAAGTCACAACATCAAAGAAAGAGACTTAAAAAGTCAGATTCACCACAGGAATCAGTACATCAGAAGAGCTCAGATCACCTTATTAACAAGACAGAATCTGGAAAAGTCAATTTAAGTAAAGACAAAGCCTTCAAATCAACTCATGAGAGACTGCAGAGAAAGAGGATGAAAACCCCGGAATCAGATCATGCAGGAGAATTAAGAAAAAGGACATGTCCGTTCTATAAGAAAATCCCTGGTAAGTTGAAATATCAATGCTTAGTATATCTGCAGAGACACAGCTTTTTTGACTTCATGTTCATTGCCCATGTTGTGTGTGTGTGAAAGGCAATTTTTGTGTTCTCTTTTGCTTTTTAAACCTTATTAAGCTGTAATGTAGTTTGTTTGTTTGTTTGTTTTCTGCCTGTTTATTCTTTGTGTTCCATTCAATTCAGCAAACTTTTATTAAACATTCTGTGTACAAGATACTACACCAGTTGGGTAGATATTACAGATTTGACAAAGATTGGAAAAGATCAGCTTAATACGGAAAAAGGAAGGGCTCTCAGTAAGTAACTATGATAAAAGGCAGTGACTAAGCACCTAAGAAACGCAAAGTCCTAAATAGCTTCAAAGAAGGAAAACACAGGTTGTACGAGTCATAATAAATACCAAACATTTTAAATCATAGCATAACTTAGTTCCTCAACTTTTTCATATCCTTGTAATTTCATGCCTTCATAGATGAGTTAGTAGAGACATGTATAGTGAAATAAATTTTATTATTGAAGAAACCAGTCATTCTTCTTCTGCAAAGAATATAGAACTGCCAGAATACACTTGGTTTCAGAAAGAAGTTTTAAAGTGCTTTTTTGATAGTCTAGATCTATAATTTGTTCAAGACATTTATGTAAAGAAAAGCCTGTTTGTACATTGTAGCATCAGTTCTGTCTTTTAATAATTGTTTCGATTAGTTTTCTGTATTTTAAGTGAGCCCCAAACAGTAGGCCATGTGTTATAAGCCTCAATAGGATTGTGGAGGTGTGCTTGCAAACACAAATACTTGTGTTTCTCTTGTGAACAAATTTCAGAATAGCTTTTTTTTTTTCATTATTGCTCCTCTAGGGAGTCTTTTTAGGCATGCTTTTTTTTTCCTTCATTTTTCCTTCCTTCTCTCCACCTCCCACAATGAAATTCATATATGACAGATTATTATTCTACTGTGGCCCTTTGGAGGGCCAATAAGATTACTTGGGTCTTCAACCATTTTTACCCCCTTAGAAGCAAATCACTATTGCCCCCATTAAGAATTCATGTTTTTTAAAAAAAAGTCACCATTTTCCTTTAGCTGCTTTGCAGAAGTAAAGGATTTTAGGTGCCCAGTAAGTATTTTCAAAATATTCAGCAAAACAAAGAAGTCATTGGTTTGTAGCTTAGTATTTTTTTTGTACAATTATTTATTAAAAAAAAAAGCCTATACTGGGGTAGTTAGTAGAAACTTAACAAGATTTCATCTCTGATATCACCTTCTGCTGAATTTATGTGGTGAAGATTTTTAGTTTTATTTATTGTTTGTTTGAATTTTATTTTATTGAGTTATAGTCAGTTTACAATATTGTGTCGATTTCCAGTGCAGAGCAC